TCAAAGAAATGTGCAGTTCTTCTCCATAGGCTACACTTATAATGAGAACTAAACAGGTAAAAAAAACTCAAGCAAATCCTGATTACTATCCTTTTTCAATCCTCAGTTATGATGCAAAAAAACACATGATCTCCCATCACAGCTCTCCATGATACTCCATCCAAATCTTAACGACAAATGCGTTTACAAGTTCGAGTTGACTGATAACTTTGGAAGTGGGATTATTTGCAGGTGTATTCGCGCCATTTCAACGACATGCAATAATGTTTCGAAATATCACGCAAAAAAAAAACTCCATTTGTGCAAGTAGTTGACTTCTTCGCTAAAAGCGAAGTTGTGGGACATGTGCGCGACTTCTGATAACGCGAGCAGAGTGTTTCGATAATGAGTGCGGAAACCAATTTAAAATGAAGAAACGCCCCGCTGAAGATACAGCGCCGAATGTATCCCGCTGAGCGTCAAATGTTCAGCGAGTAATGAATCAGAGGAGTTCTTATTAACCTTTAACTGCTCCAGCGGCTAAAAGAGGAATATGGTTGCTGCCAAACTGCAGGATAGCTATTTGAATTGAGAATAAGAACATTCCTTTCTAAGCATATACGTGGGCAACGGAACGCCCTCCACTAATTTTCTCTATTGAATTCTTTTCAAGCTCGTGAATACCTGCAATAATTCCAGCAGTACGATCACAGATCGGAGAACAAGGTTATAATCCAACGCCTCGCTGCGGCTTTAGCTTCAAAGGAATCCAGAGTTACGAGCACTTTTTTTTTGCAGTTTTCTGCCTTTAAGTGAAGATTTGAGGCTTTACAAATGTTCTGGCAAACCATATCCCATTAAATACCTATTCCTTAGCTGATGCTTTCTCACTAAGTTCTATGGAAGAAAAATCCAGTAAGAAAGCAACAGCAAAGGAAGAGAAACATACTGGCAGAATGCGATTTGCGATAGCTTAAGCAAAGGTTAAATACATTTTGCAAAAGAACTAAAGTTTAGCATATTGGATCAAGGCTTGTGGGACTTTTTCCTCAAAGATAAATAAGCTACTCTACTTCAGTTGGTAAAGAATCCAGTGAAATGAGTCAAATAACAGTCGACCTATGAGAACCGAAACCAAAATGCAGGTGATTTCGAACAATGAGTCACACAACAGCTGTATCAACATCTCGCCGGATTTGCAAAAAGCATCGTAAGCCAGTATGTCAGCAGGAAAGATTTATGATAAGAGGCGTAGCAATGTTTCAAAGTGCAGAGCAAATCAAAAAATCCAACAACCCTTCTATGGCAAAAAAGTATTATTTCATTTTCAAATTTTTTTTTTCTGGAGCGCTTGACCACGGTAGGTGTTCAGGGCTTAAAATGCCTGAGTTGTCAAATTTTTTGAATCAGCATCTTACATGTACATGTGGAACGTTTCAATTAATAGAGCATATCTTTAGTCTTACACCATTGTATGCAGGGGCTTTTGCACGCACCACCTAATTAGGCAATACGAGGATTCCATGCATAAAGCTTACTACTTGTCCTCTCGATTATGAGAGTAGGAGTGTTGAAAATAGGAATGCCGTTAAAGATACGTCACAGAAGAATGTCACGAGAATAGACTAATGCTCAACCTGTACAACTAGAAGGCTACCTTCTAAAACCTAAAATTCCAAAATGAGAAGGAAATAAGAGAGAATCCTGAGAAAGGCAGATGTTTAATTGCAGTACACAACATCAAAACAGTGACTGCCCCTCATTTATAAACGTCTCATAATTTGCATACGTATCATGCAAAGTGTTAGCCTGTCATCAAAAATGACCGCAAGATATAAGTACAGAAACATTTTTGGTCTGTCGCAGCCATACGATATTTTCTAAAGCAACAACCTTTGCCT